ATATTATTGAATAATTGTAAAGCTCAAAGGGGAAAGCGCACTTCGCCAGACGTCCGGGATTGCCACAGTAAACAGTACAGGGGTTTGGTGCGGACGCCGGGAAGTTAATGGCGTAAGGGGTAACGCGGACGCCGGGAGCTGGGCCGAAGGTTACTAGGGGGCCTAGGAACGTATTGTGGGACGGGCGAGGATGATGGCGAAGTGTGTTCCTCCTTAATTAAGTTGACCTTAGTTTTGCCAGGGAACTAATGTTATTATTCGACGGCGTAACGTCAGCGTTACGCCCGTATCTTGCAGTTAGCGCCGGGCGCATTGACGCCCTAGTTCTCCCTTAGCCGTACTCCCGCTAGTAATGTAGTGTGTTTGTAGTTGTGTTTTATGTAATGTCCGACTCGTAGAGAATATTAAATCTTTGTGTGTGTATACGATTTTTGTCTTCATTTTGCAAACAAACACGATTACTAAGGACGCCAACTTGGCAGGGAGACGCCTACAGGAGAAATTAACAGAACAATTACCGGAAAGGGGAGATAATCCTTACAATGCGATCAAAAGGAACGGTTTTAGCAGTCCAAACTACAGAGAGTTGACAACAGAGAGGTTAACATGTGAAAAGTCGAAAAGATATTGAAGACCAGAGGAAAGGATGTAACAAACACTATTATGCTCAATGACTCCACCGGCCTATAAAATTCAATTCCTGATGTAACCGATTTGTAAATGTCGCGTTAGGGAGAGTGAACTACCCTAGAAAGGTCCAATGTTAGGACCTTTGTTATAGGAACGAGTGTATATATCCACAGACGACACTCTAGTACCACTCCGTATGTGGTAGATGTCTCTCATGTAGTTATAAAGAGATACTTGTCCATGATAGAGTAGGTAATCTTTGTAGTGATGTATAAGGTATGGGATGGCTCTCAAATCCACGTGCAATCTATCGCGACGGGAAAAGGTTCAAAGGTTCGAAGTATTTTATCCAGCTGAAAACTATTTAACACCACCTGTGACATTATCGATCAATACCCTAACCGAAGTTAGTTATCTTTTTCGTACAGTTTTCTTATCTGTTGTCCGAAAAATGCCCATGCTCAGACGCATGAACGGACGAGGCAAAATTCAACATACCACGCAACGCATTTTTGTGAGGGATAATTGTAACATTATTTAATTATTAGTACTTGAGTTGTTTTATCCCTAAAAATCAAAGATTTGTTTGTATTTCACAATACTATTTTGATAAAACCATTTCAAGTATTCTTTGTACTTGTCATTTCTTTTGATATACAATTAATTTGCATATATAAATCTTTACACGTATATGTAAATCGAATCAAATGATGTACACTCCCTGTCATTATTGATTATATTATCTGCAAGCCTATTAGTATCCTACATAGTATCTTCAAAACCTTTTGAAATGTGTGATCAGTTTGGGGAATATTTTAATAATATTTTATACTTTTTGAGAAGCTTTCATGCCAGGATTTTGATGTAAGACCACCCCGTTGAGATTGGTTGAGGACTGCTGAAAGGCCTTAGACAACCGTGAGTGTGTCGCTGCCATTCTCACGGATCTATCTAAGGCTTTTGACTGCCTTCCTCATGATCTGTTGCTCAGGAAGCTGATACGTATGGTCAGTGATGGACCACTTAACCTGGTTCCCAGCTATCTGAATAACGTTACAGCAGGTCAAGTTCGGCTCCAAATGCAGTGACTGGTTGGAAGTGTTCAAACGGGTTCATCAGGATTCAATTATGGGTCCCTTTTTTCATTTTTAGAAATGACATTTTTTTTATCTCGACTCATCCAAACTCTATAATTATGCTGATGATAACACAATTAGTGCATTCAACAAATAGCCTCTTAACCTCAAGAAGTCCATTGAAACAGACCGTTCACAAATTAAGAAATTCAATTCCTGGGTACGCGCGTTTGATGACCGCAATTTGTATACAGTTATCACCAGAGTTCATTGTATTGAACAATACAACTACCTTATATGTCCTTGGTATACATACAACATCCCATTTATTAACTCTTTGTGCATACCATTACCTTTTGTTCTCTCGATCTCTACCTAAACCTCAAACATGGGCAAAACAGTTCCCAATCTATTAGTACAATAGTATGTATGATGTTCTTAGCAATAGCTACATATTTTACTTACCATATCCGACATCTTGATGTGCTTTGATAATAGTAATTTCGTTCTTGTCAAACGATGTGAATTTAGGAAGTTTTTGGTATTTGTCAGGTAGGCAATACACGAAGCGCTGGAACGTGTCTTTTTCTTTTGGGCCCCGTTTCCTTTTTCCTTGGTTACCTATCGCCTGTATTGCTTGAAGTACTTTGGCGTTATTAGCCTTGTCACTCACACGGTTTCCATTGTGTTGAGTGTTTCCGTTCAAATGTGATGCTGATGATCCATGTAGACTTTGTGCTGCATACAAATTCACTGGAAACACTGAATGGTTCGACACACTGTCCATAACAACACCGCTGCCTCCGGAACCGGAAATTTCCAATATGTTGTCACCCGACATGGAAACTGGGAGCCTTTAGTCACACCTGTCAACTGTTATCAATTCATATCATTCTGTTTGATAAAATAATGATTCGGAGGAGAAATAAATAATGTAGGATTTATATCTTTGTTATGTACATACAAACACAGCTAATACGCCCGTATCAATCGACTGGTGCCTTCTAACTTCAGGTTCTAAAAGTCAAGGATTATCAGTAATTTCTATTAAAGCTTCAAGGTAAATCGTAAAATATGTTTCGGTAAAGGCAATAGTATCGATTTTCGTGTAGTTATACCTATACAAAATCTGTAAGGATGTATATGTATCTCATATTTCCAGGTTATATCTATCTAACGATTCAAATTCATGACGTAAGGCCCCGTGCACAGATCCAAACATCGGAGTGATTACACACATATACAATAGATATTCTACATAGTGCATGTTTGTCTATGGTAAGGAATACCGCCTTGTATAAAAAACCGAACCATAGAGATGGTGCTGTTAGTACCCATCAAACCATATAAATAGTACATAGTTACCACGTGTACCATAGAGATGGTGCTGTTAGTATCCATCAAACAACACTTACATAGTTACCACGTGTACCATAGAGATGGTGCTGTTAGTACCCATCAAACCATACTTACATAGTTACCACGTGTACCATAGAGATGGTGCTGTTAGTACCCATCAAACCATACCTACATAATTACCATGTGTACAATAGAGATGGTGCTGTTAGTACCCATCAAACCATACTTACATAGTTACCACGTGTACCATAGAGATGGTGCTGTTAGTACCCATCAAACCATATAAATAGTACATAGTTACCACGTGTACCATAGAGATGGTGCTGTTAGTACCTATCAAACCATACTTACATAGTTACCACGTGTACCATAGAGATGGTGCTGTTAGTACCCATCAAACCATATAAATAGTACATAGTTACCACGTGTACCATAGAGATGGTGCTGTTAGTACCCATCAAACCATACTTACATAGTTACCACGTGTACCATAGAGATGGTGCTGTTAGTACCCATCAAACCATATAAATAGTACATAGTTACCACGTGTACCATAGAGATGGTGCTGTTAGTACCCATCAAACCATACCTACATAGTTACCATGTGTACCATAGAGATGGTGCTGTTAGTACCCATCAAACCATACCTACATAATTACCATGTGTACAATAGAGATGGTGCTGTTAGTACCCATCAAACCATACTTACATAGTTACCACGTGTACCATAGAGATGGTGCTGTTAGTACCCATCAAACCATACTTACATAGTTACCACGTATATTGCCTACAACTAGCACATTCTGGTCTACCTTTCTTTACTTACCTCAGTTTCAAACGTCTGTGATTTTCACAATTTCGTTTAGACATTAAATACCATTCTTTGACATCTACTTTAGAGAAAGATGGCGTCGTGCGCCAGTTCGCTTCACTACAACTCTCGTCAAATGGCTAGCGGAGACTACACGAGGCGTTCTTCGATAATCATATTTCGAGGTCGCCATGACAACGCTGCAGCATAATCGTATAAAGATAGCAGCAGACTACATCACGCGAATAGCTTTATCGAATACATACCAGTGAACTGGGTTTACCAGTCGAGATGTAGACAGCTGTTTCTCACTGCATCGTATTCTTTGTTGATTCCGAGTCGCGTTATTTAAATATGTGATGAGACGCATGTCTCCTACCAGAGGCCGGGCGACTATATGTGAAGAGACGCATGTCTCCTACAAGACGTCGGGGTAGCTTTACGTGATGAGACGCATGTCTCCTACCAGAGGTCGGGGTAGCTATATGTGATGAGACGCGTATCTCCAACCACAGACCAGAAATTATTATATGTAATAGGATGTATGTCTCCATCCAAAAGCCGCGGTGTTTAAATATGTGATGAGACGCATGTCTCCTACCAGAGGCCGGGTGGCTATATGTGAAGAGAGACATGTCTCCTTCCAAAGGTCGGGGTAGCTATACGTGATGAGACGCATGTCTCCTACCAGAGGCCAGAAGTTATTATATGTAACAGGATGTATGTCTCCATCCAAAGTGCGCGGTATTTAAATATGTGATGAGACGCATGTCTCCTACCAGAGGCCGGGTGACTAAATGTGAAGAGAGGCATTTCTCCTTCCAAAGGTCGGGGTAGCTATACGTGATGAGACGCATGTCTCCTACCAGAGGCCAGAAGTTATTATATGTAATAGGATGTATGTCTCCATCCAAAGGCCGCGGTATTTAAATATGTTATCAGTCGCATGTCTCCTATCACAGGTAGGAAATTGTTATGCATGATGAGACGCATGTCTCCTTCCAGAGGCCGGGGTAGCTATATGTGATGAGACGCATGTCTCCTACCAGAGGCCGGATGGCTATATGTGATGAGACGCATGTCTCCTACCAGAGGCCGGGGTAGCTATATGTGATGAGACGCATGTCTCCTACCAGAGGCCGGATGGCTACATGTGAAGAGACGCATGTCTCCTACCAGATGTTGAGGTAGCTATATGTGATGAGACGCGTATCTCCAACCACAGGCCGGAAATTATTATATGTAATAGGATGTATGTCTCCATCCAAAGGCCGCGGTATTTAAATATGTTATCAGTCGCATGTCTCCTATCACAGGTAGGAAATTGTTATGCATGATGAGACGCATGTCTCCTACCAGAGGCCGGGGTAGCTATATGTGATGAGACGCATGTCTCCTACCAGAGGCCGGATGGCTATATGTGAAGAGACGCATGTCTCCTACCAGAGGCCGGGGTAGCTATATGTGATGAGACGCATGTCTCCTACCAGAGGCCGGATGGCTACATGTGAAGAGACGCATGTCTCCTACCAGAGGTTGAGGTAGCTATATGTGATGAGACGCGTATCTCCAACCACAGGCCGGAAATTATTATATGTAATAGGATGTATGTCTCCATCCAAAGGCCGGCTGGTAATATATGAAGAGACGCGTTTCTCCCATCACTGGTAGGAAATTGTTATACATGATGAGACGCATGTCTCCTACCAGAGGCCGGGGTAGCTATATGTGATGAGACGCATGTCTCCTACCAGAGGCCGGGTGGCTATATGTGAAGAGAGGCATGTTTCCTTCCAAAGGTTGGGGTAGCTATGAGATGAGACGCATGATTCTCATCACAGACCGGGGTAATTATATGTAATGGGATGTATGTCTCTATCCACGGTATTTAGACATGTGACGAGAGCCATGCCTCCCACAATAGGTCGGATATAGTTCTATGTGATGAGACACATTTCTCCCACCAACACCAGCAGGGGTTAATTATATGTAAAGGGATGGAAACCAAGGTCTGTAATACATTTCACTGAATACAATTTCTAAAGTGATGTTGTTGATGTAATATATCGGCAGTGAAATTTCGTTTCGTATAAATCACATTCCGCAAGTTGTTGTTGCATTTGGAACATTACGAAAATTTCACGTGGCGGCAGTACATTTGCCTTGCGTTTTTCACAACTATCGACATGACTTAAAGATTCGACAATGACATAAATATTAGATATCGGATCATTAACGGAAAAATCAGAACATGAGCATTCGAAGGCATTTATCTTTATTACTGAGGTCCGGAGTAACTCGAGGTATAAGAGAATGAGTCTGACGTATAGAACGTAAGGCAATGAAAGCGGATTCAAATATTTCTTAAAAATCCTTTTTGATAATTTTGGATCCGAGCACAATAAGAGGGTAAAATCTACGAGTAAAAGCCTATAAGAATAAGATATTTAGTTGATCAATATGTATCAGTATTAGTCCAAATCATGTAACCTACGCAAAGATTAACGCCATGCTACCAAGCTATGTGTTTTTCTAGTTCCAAAGTACCAAGTGTTTGATAGACCAATTTGAAGAAAGGAATGTACCAAAACAAGCATAAAGGACACCTTCAACTAAAATATAATCGTTGCTGTTTTCTTGTTGTGGCATATTATACAGTGACCATGGGAACTATCACAAGTAATGGCATATCATACCGTGACCATGGGAACTATCACAAGTAATGGCATATCATACCGTGACCATGGGAACTATCACAAGTAATGGCATATCATACCGTGACCATGGGAACTATCACAAATAATGGCATATCATACCGTGACCATGGGAACTATCACAAGTAATGGCATATCATACCGTGACCATGGGAACTATCACAAGTAATGGCATATCATACCGTGACCATGGGAACTATCACAAGTAATGGCATATCATACCGTGACCATGGGAACTATCACAAATAATGGTATATCATACCGTGACCATGGGAACTATCACAAGTAATGGTATATTATACCGTGACCATGGGGACTACACAGACTCGAAATCATTTGTCAATATTTGAGCATTCGTGCAATAAACAACAACACTGAAAGTTCCGATTTTGTTGAAGCTTTCCTATAAGCTTAACCAATCTTAAAGGACTTTGATTAAGGTGGGTGTATTTTGTTAGTCCTGAGATTCACAGAACTTGACCGCATGTCGTCATCAGGTCATCTCTGAGGCAGCCTACGTTTTGATAGACGTTTGTGACATAGTTCTAAATAAAACGATAGTATGATAATTATTATCTTGTTGTCTAAGCCGCGCCTTATCTTGCGATATACATAGCTCCGGCTAGTAGCCAGTTAGAGAACAACAGCCAAGACACCTGGGGCACGAAAGGTACGACTTCTCCTTCTCTTTGTTAACCTTGATCTTACAGTGTCATTCCCTGGATTTACCCTATCCTCTTGTCTATGATTAACTTGTGACCCTCGCACAGTGTCATTCCCTGGATTTACCCTACCCCCCTTGTCTTTGTTTGACTTATGACCCTAGTACAGTGTCACTCCCCAGATTTACCCTATCCTCTTGTCTTTGATTGGCTTGTGACCCTAGATCTTGAAATGTTTATTCTTATTTAGGACAAAATATATTTACAGCGTTATTTCTTAAAAAACGTGATTATTGTGTCCCGAAACCAGTAGCTAACAGCAGTGACAAAACTATACAAATTACATTTTCCAACAGCTCTGTAACGCTAACAAAGAAAATCATGTATTTTATTTGTTTACAAACTTTTTATCAAACATTATTTAATCATTTAGATCAGCGATTCTTTTTTATATGTTTATTTATTGGCGAAGAAGTACATACCGGTAGATAAGTAATAAACGAAACATGTAGGACCTCAAACACTGTGATAGTTTCCCATTTACTGATTCACTGTACCTCTTCGCTCAGGATCCTTTACAGTGTTCTCATGGTATTCTATAGTACACACGTCTACATGGTTTGTTACAGACGAATATAGACAACTAATGGTTAGTGAACATTTTCAAACATGAATTAAATAAAACTGAAAACAATCTTTATCATTTCACAGCTGTAGGTTTATTGAGACAGGTCAGCTTGATATATTCTGAGTGTTATTTTTGCATCTTGTTTGTTCAGTGAAAGCAATTAGAACTTTAAATAACCACTGGTATACCAATTTTTGAGTAACCTAGCCTGTAATCTTCTTCTTTTCTCTCTTCTGGTGACATTACTACTACAAGCAAATGCACCAAAATAGCTTTATTGGAATTTTGAAGTATTATGGATACAGTGCATGTTAAAAATTAAATATTGTTAAGTCAAAGAAAGGCATCTTCCCTGTCAGCATTCTATATTTCAAGTCTATAATTACTGGTGTTAATTCATGCGAATTCTGTTAAAATCTATCCAAGACATCCAGAATTATATTCAAGTGCAGACAAATGCTGAAATTATCGTCGCTATAGGCCATTGTTAACTACATTTTAACCAGTGTAGTCCACAAGGATCTTTTTACAGAACGTCATGTAAATTGCTCCAAGTATAGATAGAGAAGTATAGGAATAATTAGGTTGCAGACATGACGCTGGAATCAAACCAGAATCAGTTATCTAGTACTTCAGGGCAAACTTTTTTTCATCCGTAAAAAGCTTGTTTCAAAACGATATTTTTGATAAGCACAGTAAAGGAGGTAATCAAATTAAAGCGATACAATATTTTGGAAGCTTTCTATTCCTATTTCTTATCTGCGTTTTGGAAGAAAGATTTATAAAAGAACCAAGAAAATATTTGTCTTTTTGACAAGAATTTTCCTTTAATGCGATAAATTTTTGGCCTTCATTCATACCTGGTATTACTTCGGAAGGGCAGCGCATGTGATATCATATGTAAGGGAATGACGTCATTTTGTACAACTAAAAGGAGAGACTGTTGATATACCCCGATAGCAGAATGTCAATCTTTGTGACGTAATCAGGAATGTTTCTTTATAATCAACACTGCCTTCTTTTACAGATGTTTATGAATCTGCTGTGGTGTTTATATGGCGTCATTCTGCTGGATGATGTCACGAACGGCTTTCTATTTGGAGATGGGCATGGTGCCTCGGGACCACATGACGCCTTTGCCCAGACATCCTGTGGCCCAGTCAGAGGCAAGTTTGACGGTAACGCCTACGCCTACCGAGGTATACCGTACGCCGTGCCTCCAGTACGGACCAAACGCTGGCAGCCGCCAGAACCACTAAGGCACGAGGATGGCACGTGCTGGCCAGGCACGTTCGACGCTTCTGTACTTAAATCGAAGTGTGTACAGCGCCTAGAGGATCGCGTAGTGGGTACCGAGGACTGTTTGCATCTCAACGTCTGGACCCCAACAAACGTGACGTCTGCTGACCTTCCCGTCATGGTTTTCATCCACGGTGGCTCTTTAGAGATTGGATACAGTGACCGACCGGGTTATGCACCGAACGAGCAACTAGCACGTGACACTAATACCGTCTATGTCAGTATGAACTATCGTTTACAAGCGTTCGGCTTCATGGCTTTAGACATACTGTCAAAGAACTCCAAAACCAATACTTCCGGTAACTATGGACACATGGACCAGATCTTGGCGCTGAAATGGGTCCAGGAGAACATCCGAAACTTTGGGGGAAATCCAAATAAGGTAAACATTTATTATGCAGCAATTAGCTAAAGTGTTATTAACAGTTTATGCTGATGACACATGCAAACAACGTCATGCTTACTTTACGTTTGTCTACAGGTTACCGTATTTGGTCAAAGTTCAGGTGGTACTAGTGTGATGGTTCTTCTTACGTCTCCACTAGCCAAGGGGCTGTTCCAGAAGGCTTGGCTGCTCAGTGCATCCCCTCTACTAACGAAAACCATTATCGGGGCTTCAATAGACAATATCGTTTTCCTCAATAACACTAACTGTAGTACTATCACGTGTCTGCAACAGCTTTCCGCCCATGACGTCACCCTGGCGGTTCCGTGGAACGTGTACCCGTTCTGGGCAATGGAGGACCAGGTAGAGCTGCCAGTCAGGGGACAGCTTGATGGAGGGCTGGCTATTGTAGACGGTATAGTTAACATTATATAAGGCATAACGTAATATTATGTTTATCTTTTAGGTCAAAGGAAATAGAAAATTCGTGAAAGTAAATTAATTTCTGTATGATACCTGCCTATTTCGACCCGTCGGGAATTATTTCACTACAAAGGTGCTTGGCGTCATATATGTGTGACGTCGAAATATTGAATTACAATGTAGTATTTATATCGTAGACTAGATTATTGACTTAATTGGCCCGTCTGGACAGGTGATTTTTTTTGTACATTGTAGGCGACGGACTCTTTGTATGCATTCGTCCCCTTCATATTTCCCTGACCTTTCCGTTTTGTTTCCTCTGATGAATTTTGTTAAATCAATAAAACTTGTATTGTTGCATATTTTGGTATGTTTTCGTTGTCTAATGTTTCTGAAAATTATTTTGCTTTATCAACTATATTCATCTAAGGATCACTATCATTGTTCGGTCTTTTTAACATTCTGACGACCTTTGGAAGATTTGTATCTGACAACCATATGCCAGAAACATGTCCCTCATCACTGCCACATTAAAATCCTGTCTTCCTTTCCTTTCTATTTGAAAACGTTGTTCTGAAATTTCAAACAAATTAAAATTATTTTTCTCTGCATCGTCATTTGCAGAATTTCTAATATCATATCTGGTTATATGTGGTCCTTTTTTCAAATTTGTCTGTGTGAATCTTTCCTTTGCACATTTCTGTATTTTTTTCCCATTTCTTTATCTTTTTTTTTTTTTTTTGTCTTGGTTTCATTAAATTTGAGGTTGTATTTAGATTATATCGACATTTCAGTATAACATAATCATCATATCACTAAAATGATATTGGCATGTATTGAAATTTCTGTATTTCTCCAAATACCCGGCATATTAAACGTATATCATGACGTCACAACATATACACAAGTAAACAAAACTTCATTGCTACAATAACTGCGTGATCGATCACTCTCTGTAGCGCGCCAATTTTTCATGATTTCTTAAAGCACCAACCAGTTGACCAAACTTTATGGCTGTTTTATTTTCTTGATTATGTCAAGCTAGAATGTAAGCTTCGCTCTGTCCAGTTACTGCTTATATTTAACATGTACAGTTGATAGCATACCTCCATGTAACATATGTTTATCCATGTCACATGTTACTGTACACGTGGTCGTATACTTCCCTGTCACAGGTTACGTCCTCACGGAGACCCCGTTGGACGCCTGGGTTAATGGACGTGCTAATGACGTGCCAGTGATGATAGGTATGTATCAGTATATAAAGGCATGTGTTGATGGATCGAGAAGGTATTTATCGGAAATAGAAATAATAATATCCAAATTAATGGAAAGACTAGGATTTCCGATCATGCAAACGATTAATTTTACATCTCTTAGAGACAACCTAGAATATAGTGTTGATTTAGGGGCACCATATCCATGGACCTATATGAGACAAATAGGAATGCCCAGAGGAAACTTTAAGATCCCCTCAGCACATTTTTGTTTCGTGATTTGTGGTATCTGATGTTTACCATAATCGCTAAATTTGGTATGTATATTTATTGTCATCCTATCAAATCAATTCCTGAAATGCACTAGACACAACGGCAGTCATGAAATGGGAATTGGTTTTCAGTTTCAATCATTTAAGCAGGGACGTATATGACATATACGTCCCTGATTTAAGGTATTATTTCATCCTCAAACATAAATAAATATAAAACGCTTCCCAAATGATGTAAGAAAGAATGATCTTCCTTACTGATAAATATATACGATATTAACCTTCCTATTTCATATATATATCTCCTGTCTAGTTGATAGATATGTAAGTAATAATTGCCTTTCTAGTTGAGAAACATGTAAGTAATAATGACCTTTCTAGTTGATATGAAAGATGAAATAGTACCATCATGTTGATAAATAATATACAGGTTTAGGACGTTATAAACTTGAACTTCCTATCAACAACAACGGTACAGGCAAACTACGATAGATAGTTCATACTTGAAATACAGCCACATTATTCCCTATGATATATTCTATTTACTCTTTGTAGGTACAACTGCACAAGAAACTGACTTTGTACATTTTTCCAGTGAGCTAGTAAATAAGTCTGCGTATGAGGAAAACGTTATGCGTAACCTTGGTACATTTGGGACAGACATTGCTAAGATGGCGTTAAGACTGTATCCGGTAGAAAAGGAATCAATAAGATATCAGTACACGTCCATGGTGACTGATGTACGGGTAGGATGTGGTAACGACATCATGGCACTATACGCTGCCATTAACACTAATTCTCCTGTCTACCGATATGTTGTGACGTCACAGCCCTCTACACCTGTCAGTCCGTTCGGTATAACCTCGGACACTGCCTTTTCTTTCCATGGCTGGGACGGATACGCATTTTTCGGAACACTACCAGAGATTATAGCCCATCCTTCTGACAATGATGTTATGTTTGAGGCTAATATTCGAAGAGAAATAATGTCCTTTGTTAAAACCGGAAGTCCTTATTCAAAGGATTGGCATCCTTTTCCCGACAGTGTTGCACTCTTCTCAGACGATGTTACAGTGACTTCCGGTTACCATTCCTATCAGTGCGACTTCTGGATGCAAAATGGTTTCTTTGATTATTCATGGGTGAACTAAAAACGACACCATTAAATTTGAAGCCATTATTCTACTGAATGTGACGTTCATTTTGTCCACAAATACTTTCATATTCCTCTAAGTCAATGATCATAATCAATACACGTCAGTTGTAGGCATACAAAATACCGACTTGTAAAAAAGAAAGAAAGAAAAATAAAAACCGACATGTCAAAATATATATATATATATATAAACAAAACAAACAACATCAAAATAAATAAAAAAAAAGACTAAGAATATACAGATAGGTCAATGGAGTCTTAATTGAATATCGAATACGAAGGAAATATATCCTTAAAATGTACAAGGAGAGATGTTCCGGAGGAATAAGATTTTTATTCAGAATCTGCAAAGTAAATCCTGTGCACCTCATGACGGCGCCCATAAAACTTAACTCGTTATAATGGGAACAGACACCTTAATATGAAATAACTTACATGTAAATACATATTTCATAGGATAGAAAAATCATTTCGTTTATCACACAGCCTGGTATAATGTTTGTTCTATTCTGGACATAGATAAATTTATTTGTCTTTAATGACAAGACGTTATCAATATATCTAACATTGAGGAACATTGGGTGACTTGACAGTCTTCTAGACTTGGTTTGGTAAGCTCTTCAGTAAATCCAGCCTTATTTGTTGACAGAAACAAAGAGAAGGTTCATTTGTGTCCTTAGGTATGCAGCAGTCTGTTCGAAAATCTTATTTCAAACTCGATAAAACCACAGTCATCCATAAATTTAATAATTTTCATAATCAGTATTGAAAAAAAGTGAATTTACTGTCATACAATATATATACTGATATAGTTTCCGCTGCCAGCTGGATTGTTCCTGACCATCGTCGGGTAGTTTATCGTCATAAGTATGCCTTACGATTGAACTAAAAGCGAATAGCACCTTTAAATACAAATTCAGATTCAGTACAGCCAAATGAAGTAAGCAACATCACATAGCTCTTGTCGTTCTTCCAGAACACGTCAGCAATGCTAAGGGCATTAAAACTGTGAAGCCTTGAAAGCGATTGAGGGAAACAAAAATTGATCGAAAGAAAATAAGAAAACGTAAATGGTGAACTAATCCAAGTAAATTATGTGTGTATAGTGAACCATGCCACTACTATTCGATTGAAAACGTGGTATATACGACAAACTCGGGAACGATAAGTCTGTCAGCAGTGTTAGGAGGTGATAACACGATCTAATGCCAGGTCACAGAATCTTCTCATATTTGCCTGTATATAGGTGGTATGGTGGTACGATTTGTTTTAAATCCTCCAGCACTCACCACGACTGGTCCAAACATATAGTATCTGGATCAGCAAACTCCAGGAATAACTTTACAAATGTGTCGAGAACAGAACACGTTATTAGTGAAAGAGCGATATGGTGGACAAAGCAAACATCGTTTTTCTTAGTCAGCTGTTGGTGATAATGTATAGTTAAGTGATTTCCCAGCGTACTTTGTACCGCAACATATAAGTTCTGGATTCGACTACACTGTACAGCTTAACTGGCGTTTTCGACAGAAAGAATCGTGTATCTTACTTAAAAACGTATTCAATCTGTACACATAAAGGATGCTTCGAAAAATACTGCATGTTGTTGTATAATTGATTTATCACAAAAACACATTTTCTGTCATTTGCATCTAGATATAAACTCAGCGTTAATTGAAAGTACAATTTTGACTGATCTTGATCTTGCTTGGATTTTGTATTGATAGGATTGTTACTAGACACACAACTACAGCAAGCGGGACATTTACATGAAGCTCGATAATGAAAGATTAACGGATGTATAAGTTAGATATAAAAACGTGTGTAAAATGTAAAAAGTGTTTATCATATTCGTCATAATCGAACTGATTAGGAACAATATATACTATATGTTACAACAAACCAATTTACAAGAATTTACAAGTCCTTCAACAACATGAGCGTTAATTTGAAATATCCATTTCTAAAATACCTTTGACTATTTGTTTCCGTAAATGTTTTGTCTCGAGTGTGACGGAATCTAAATTTTATCTTCATTTAACCGTTAATCGCGATTAATCTTACACATAAAACAATAAATACGACATACTCACTCCTAATGATCTAGTAAGTGTAAACACGAGAGATAGTGATTACGTGTGTGGTATCGTAGTAAGTTTCACCTTGTGGTCAGTCACAGAACTACTGCCAGGACACCGATTAGACACGAATTGCTGTCCCTACCACCATACTGAGATATGTCTGCTTAGACTGTGTATGGTAAGAAAGCCGTTGTCGTCTGCTTCATAATTGTACTGTGACAACGCTTTCTTTTGTTTTGGAAATCTGTGCTTGATATAATGACGCCAATTATGTTACACTTTGATACATACATATTTGTATTTTCTAAGTTGTATAATGGATATAATTGATCTTGTTCTAATATATTATCTTATAGAACTCCACCTGGCGGTTTATCAGAGAACTGCTGTTTTAATGGAAATGAAGTACGGAAAAAATGTAGGTTTATTTATGTTACACATTACTACTGCTTATATTCTACGTGTTAAGTCATATTCATTGCGCATGCTCGAACAAAATAAGAATGACTTATGTAATAACAAAATGACATTTTAAATTGTCATCACAGAATATATAGTTTACTTTGTGTATTTTGTTCATAATAATTCATTGGGAACTTACCAATCATCTCTGTGATTCCAGCATCTAACCATGATCTATTTAGCGTTTCTCATTAACTGTAATTTAACATTGAGGTCTTCTTAGAACTAACCCCTGAAGTTTACATGTATCTATCGTCGATGTTGAAATGAAGAGACAAAACATGCTTTCATAAATAAATGTCGGCAATGAATTGAAAATAAGATAAAAATAAAGGACAAAAATGTAAAGAAGTAGCCAACATTTTGTCAAGTAGTTATCGTGTCTTTAACTGAAAAAGAGTCATATCAAGTTCCTGTAGATAGACACTAAAACACAACTGTATCAGTTCTTAAACGTTTTAAAGATATGTTCTATTATTTGTTAACATAATGTAACATTCATTTTAATGCACGTTAGTGTAGAACGACGTGTTTTAAAACTTTAGATGAAATACATATTAAGAATAGAGAAACATATCTGAACGTCTTTCATTTTACCCTCAGCAACAAATACTGAGGAGAGTTAAACATAAACATTTTGGCGTACATGCAATTTTGATTTTGCTCAGTCGCCTCTTCGCATTTTTGGATCCTAGCATCACCGACAAATCCTTGGAATACAGAATAGTTTTATGATACAGTTAAATTGATTATTTGGCTCTGCTGTATCTAATTCTGAATGTGTATTGTATAATACTTTATAACTTACAAAGATGCCTGATCATATATTTCGTTAATGTTCTCCGATTTGTATCGTTATTTTCTATTCGTATCGCGAGTTATGATATTACTTTGATACCTATGTATCTGTGTATAGTTTCTATTATAATCTATAGACTTCGCAAATACAAAGTAGCTCTAACTATCTTGAAAGTAGAATTAACGATAGAGACTAATAATGAAATGTATAGACAATCCTCATGCTTTCTTTTTCGATAGGATATTTGATGTACATCTCGGCGGCGTTGTAAGTATAAATTATACCAGTGTGATACCTAAAATATGGCACCTATACATCTTAGTTACAAAAGCATGGTATGCAGCTATGACTTGTAATATTGTCTCCTTGCAGATGTTAATTCTCTGGTCTTTATGCTGGGTCATTCTAACCAAAGACGCAGTTTATGGTTTTATTTTTGGTGATCAACACAGTGCGGGACCACATGACGCCTTTGCCCAGACATCCTGTGGCCCAGTCAGAGGCAAGTTTGACGGTAACGCCTACGCCTACCGAGGTATACCGTACGCCGTACCTCCAGTACGGACCAAACGCTGGCAGCCGCCAGAACCACTAAGGCACGAGGATGGCACGTGCTGGCCAGGCACGTTCGACGCTTCTGTACTTAAATCCCAGTGTGTACAACTCGACGAAGATCGTGTGGTTGGCACCGAGGATTGTCTGCATCTCAACGTCTGGACCCCGACAAACGTGACGTCATCTAATCTTCCTGTCATGGTTTTCATCCACGGTGGATCGTTGCAAGTCGGAAACAGTGATCAGTCCGGATATGCTCCAACCGAACAGCTGGCACGAGACACCAATACCGTATACGTCAGCATGAACTATCGTTTGCAGGCGTTCGGATTCATGGCCCTGAACATACTATCTCAGAACTCCAAAACCAACACATCCGGTAACTATGGACACATGGATCAGATCCTGGCGCTGAAATGGGTCCAAGAGAACATCCAAAACTTTGGAGGAAATCCAAATATGGTAAACACTAACAGTAATTCAAAGCAACCGGTTTCACTAGTATCTTTCATTATTTGATGATGACGTAATATTCGTAAGCTACAGAAAATTGAGCCTGTAGTGTCATGCTTAAATATCTGTCTCGTTCAAAGGTAACAGTGTTTGGTCAGAGCTCTGGTGGCACCAGTGTGATGGTTCTACTTGCATCTCCATTAGCCAAAGGATTGTTCCACAGGGCTTGGCTGCTCAGCGGATCCCCTCTACTGACTAAAACCATAGCCGAGGCATCCATAGACAATATGGTGTTCCTTAATAATACAAAGTGTAGCAATATTTCATGTCTACAACAGCTATCCGCCCATGATATCACACAGGCGGTACCAAGGAACGTGTATCCGTTCTGGGCTATGGAAGACCAGATAGATTTGCCAGTAAAGGCTCGATTTGATGGAGGGTTAGCTATTGTAGACAGTAAGTTTAAACAAATCATGAGAAGAAAAGTTCTTCTGCACATTATAATTATTATATGAGGAATAAGGCAGTGATAGTTGTTGTGTATTTTTCATGCGTCTTTAACAGTCTTGGTTATTTTGAGTAGATTTGTCTTGTAGTTGTCATGCTGGAAGCCAATAGTATTTTATCCAGAGCATCTATTACAGCATAACTGATCCGGGAAGGGTTTGAAGCACACACCTCGCCTCTTCAGTCGAGGTTGCAGTGAGCGCTATTTACTGAGTAACGCATGCTCCTTTAGTTATACAAGCTTTGGCTAATATTAGGTCACAGATACAGGTCACATACCTGCATACTTAAATAATTGCACAACACGAATGTGAGGAAAAGAAACTTGATCTGGGCAGGAAATAGTTGGGGAAAACTATGCATAGTCAACGAATACTCCTAGAACAATGATTATACCGCCGAATCCTGCTTGTTGGTCTTACTGAATAACACGCTCCCGACAAACCAACCACCCTTAGTAACGATCAGACCAAACACCTCAGATCATCATCCGGGACTGCAAGTCCGATAATCTTCTAACTGTACTATCGCGCTATGACGACAGGGATACTTATCGATCATTATGATGATGTTGGTGGTAGAACAGCCAACTATTCGAATTTTTAATCTGTCATTCTCTAAATGTCCCAGTCAATGATAATTTTACGCATCTGCCAAAATATCATTGCACATTTAATTTCGGGTTTCTCCGTAAGTGGAATAAATGTTATGTAAATAAATCAATCTTGAAATGTTTTACGACCTCCTTTCAGTTGTTTTCACGTCGTAAATTAAGAAACATACAGTTAGGTGTTTTCTAATGTCAAAGTTGCTCAAACGTTACTGTAGATATGAACCTGTGTAAGTATACTGTTAACGTGTTTTTATTTCAATGTCACATGTTACTGTACACGTGGTCGTATACTTCCCTGTCACAGATTACGTCCTCACGGAGACTCCGTTCGACGCGTGGATTAATGGACGTGCTCATGACGTGCCACTGATAATAGGTATGTACATGTATCTGTTTGGGTTTGAAAGATACACGTTGTAGCAAGCTTTTAGGTTCCCCAGACATTATATTTTTCCCGCGCGAATTCAAGTAGGAAAAGGAGAACCAGAAACTGGCTTTATTTATACCTCCACTCTTACACTTTAACTATCACATGATGACAGGAGGTAAGTTAATAACTGGCTTTATACCTCCACTCTTACACTTTAACTGTCACATGATGACAGGAGGTAAGTTAATAAGATATTTCCCATGTTTTACGGTGTGGTATAGAGTCGATATTTTGCACATGTGTTTCTTAGGAATCCAACTGCCGATCGGTAGCCCAAACCAACACAAAAATTCATTTCTCCAATTTACTTCACATACAAATCGCGTGTACAATTTTTGTAAATAAACATTTTCAATACATCATAATTGAAAAGTCAGACATGTTTTTTGTTGTGATTTATAAACCAGGGGAAAATTGCGTTTCGATGTTTCAAACTTAGCAATTTTCAGGTACCAGCTAACACGTTTACATATACCGTTAACTAAACAACAATACATTTTTATTTATCAGCGATTTGATCCCTCAGAAACACATGTGCAAATACCTCTTGTCATCATGTGTACTCCAGGTCTCCACTTTATCTAGTGAATGTAGGCGTGTTCAGGAATGTGCTCCATCTGTCTTTCGAGTCAGCAGCACCTCGTTAATGTGTTTGGATAAAGACTCCGCACACCTGTGGTTATTGTGATCTAATATTTTGAATACACGTACTAAAATTTTGTATACTTTCGCCAATGTTTTAAAGCGCACATAAACCTTTGGCCTTCAACTGCAAAATGAAAAAAAAAAAAAAAGATTTTGCCATGAACTTAGCTAAAGACTGGTGGTCTACACATACATTCACATGTTTTTGTCTTACTTTGATATAGGTACTACAGCACAAGAAATTGACTTCGTAGGTATTCCAGGTATATTGGTAAATAAATCTACATACGAAGAACACGTCATGCGTAACCTTGGTACATTTGGGACAGACATTGCTAAGATGGCGTTAAGACTGTATCCGGTAGATAAGAAATCGATAAGGTATCAGTACACGTCCATGGTGACTGATGTACGTGTAGGATGTGGTAACGACATCATGGCACTGTACGCTGCTGCCAACACTAATTCTTCTGTGTACCGATATGTCATTACTGCAGTACCTTCTGCGCCAGTCAGTTTATTCGGAGCGCCATTGGATACCCTCTTGTCTTTTCATGCTTGGGACACGTTTGCATTTTTCGGAACAATGCAGGAGATTATGGCCCATCCCTCCGGCAACGATATTATGTTTGAAGCTAACCTTCGGCGGGAGATCATGTCTTTTATTGAAACCGGAAGTCCGTATTCAAAAGACTGGCGCCCGTTTCCAGACAGTGTGGCTCTTTTGTCAGACAAAACAAAAGTGACTTCCGGTTACCATTCCTATCAGTGTGACTTTTGGATGAAAAATGGCTTCTTTGATTATTCATGGTTAAACTGAAAATTCTCACATGAAATCATTTGGCTTTCGTTTTGGTTACTAATAATTTCGTTGTTTTACTAACATTAAGCGATACCACGTAAGCCAAATTTCCAGGCGGTTGCACGTTTGATCTCAGCTACTGACATCATGAAATTATCATTTTGTCATTTTTTTTATACACATCTAAATAAAGTAATTCTATGTGCGAGTGTCCTTAAATTTGATTATCTATATGCGTTGCGGCAATCACGAGCCGAAACCCGACCTTTTATCTATGGTGGATTGTTCCTACCATTAAATCAATCTTTTGATTTGCTTTTTTTGTACATTTCTCAGCTGTAACCGTAATATCGCCATCGACATATCACTTTAAGGGAGCACATGTTTTATATTTAGACACGGTGACTCCGAATGCACGTTTACCTGTTGTCAGTTGTCATGTATTTCAGATCGATCAACTTAAATAGGTGAGGCGTCTTAGAATTGGGATTTTTTTAAATGAAAGGTGATGAAGACGCAAATGATAAAGCGATATATAGAGACAAGGGATAAACATCTTATTTTCCCAAGTACCAAAATATAATGTTCATATCTAGTTTGTGGGAAGAAAGTTTATCAAAACTATACCCTTTATTGACTTTTTCGAAGTGTCACTTCCCATATAACTAACACAAAAATCTTTGAATATGTTTATATTGACACCTGACTTAAAAACTATATACAGGTAAAGTGTTGTAGTCTTCGTCTCATGCCTCCTGTAGGTGTGTAGACTACATAACGTTAATATCAACATTGTTCGTATTGTCTTCGTTTTTCTTCGATGAAGGGATAGAATAATGATTTCAAAGATGTGGATGTCTGATTTTCTCTTGGTGAATCTCTATGTTATAACAAGAGGCCCAAGGGCCTTAACGGTCATTTGACTACAAAAAACTTTCAGCAGGGAGAAGTATTTGTTTCTTCTCTAAATGAAAATCTTACTTAGAACCTGTTTTCCATTATGCAGATGGTAGTTTTGGTGAGGAGCAGGTAACTGTAACAAGTGTTACCTATTTTTTAACAGTAAAGTTGGAGATAAATCCATCTGGTAGGAAGTTTGAAATATGTGTTGCACAGGAAAACCATGATTGCGCAAACATGACACAAAAACTCTGTGTGTTTTCTACAGCATTTTCCCTAGATTTTCTAAATCTCTTTAATCACCACTTTAATTTCTCGTAAAATTTAAAGGATCCTTCAATAGTAACCTGAAACGTTTGCTGTTCTAAAGCATTTGTTTAAAATTAGGTATATCCAGAAGTGAAACTGTGGTCTTTTAATTTTTACACAGGAAATCTTACAAACTGGTTTCCCTCCTATCTACTGTATCCAGTTAGAGTATATACATTTAGTAACGAGCAACCATTTTCCATTGAAGTTGTGATTTGTGCCTTTTCTTTCCTGGACATACTTTCCCAAGCTGGATTAAGCAATTTCTCATTCTTGTTGTAGCTTACATCTTGACTCTCTTATCACCATAAGTCGCCATTAAAGGTTCCTTTGAATGGTTTTCTGTTTCAGAATGAAAGCGTTAATGCATTTTCACCCTGACCAAGCCAATATTCAATACATTTATTTAAAATGAAATGGCGATAACAATGGTAGCAGTACACAGTTTCTCGGTGTGGCCATGGTGATATTTTTGTTCATTTTCATGATTACCCCATTAAAATGGTTTTAAAATGGCTTTAAGATATATTCTCGCTAAAACTGGTCTCGTTATGTTAAAAAGTCTTAAATCCATGTCTAGTGATCAAAACTAGCTTTACAAGAAGTGAATTTTTTATAATATTTACAAATGGTAATGTTGCGCTGGCGTTCCAAGTTTGCTGAAATGTAAGTAGTTTGTTAACATGACAGTGTTGTTGAATTTAAGACAGGTGTTCAGAAATAAATTTCTTCTATAATGTTGTAGTGTTAGGTTGGAATTAGAAGTACTTATTTTTTTGCATTTTTAGCATTTTGAGGGGGTAACCATGGCAATCACATGTCAGAAATCAGGAAAATTTTGATTAACACAATTTTTATTTCTCTGCTATTAATGTAATAGTTATGTAGTTTATAAATATATACATGTAAGGACATATTTTTCATAACCAAACTGCTATGTCTGTAAATCTAAAAGATGACCAATAATTTCAGAATTCCAAGATGGCTGCGCAAAACAGTCAGCCATTTTGTTTTTTTCCTGGTCAGTCCCAAAATAAAACAGGCGCAACAATTCAATGGCAAACTACATATAAAAAATGTACCAGAAATAGCTGTCCAGTATTTCTGAAAAAATAAGAATAACAAATTTTCATTGCCAAAATACCAGATTTGCTTCGTCCTTTCTACGGAATGAAATCGTGAGTTAGAAACCTATGTTGAGAATATAGCGAAACAGTTTTCCGAGAATGTGACGTTCTTGCGTATTTTCTGGAACTTGTCGCACCGTGAAGATGAGGCTAACAATATATCATACTCTTCATAAATGTACCCCCTCATGCCTGATTCTTTGCATTTGTTGGTTTAACAGAGCAGTGTGCTCTACATACTGGTAGCACTTCGTTCTCAACTGCAGCGTTAATGTTTTGTAAACTGGAGAGCTCTCAGCACTGGCATTCTTTGGGTACCAAACACAAGTAATGATCACATCTGTGCGCTAGTTGTTTATTAAGTTCAGCTGTAAATTTAGCAGAAATTGAGGCCGGTTCAGACCCGTTTATACGACGTCTTTCAGAGATCTTTCTGCGTCATCGCCTCCATCAGACATAGTTTCCATTTCTATTGAAGACATGTAGGCTAACGTGGGAACTGGTGCAAGGGAGATAACTTTGTGTAAAATATAGGGGTCCGAGGATGCAATGTAAACAAACGACCGGCGATCATAATAAATACAACATTAGACGTGAGCTATATTGATTTATTTACAATCAGATTGGTAAACATGTTGTTTGGAATTTCAAAAAATCTGAAATCGATATGGTAGCTGTAATTTGCAAAAAAATCGGAAAATTTCACGACTGAGTGCGGCGTACAAGTTTTCACCCCTTTAAAAAAAACAAATCGTCGATTAAAAAGAACGATATCTTAATTATTTATTCAAAGTGTCAGATTTTTGAAATATTTAAGTGGATTTACGTAAAAATGAGATTTATTAGATTTTTTGTTTCCGAGATGTTAATTATTTCTTACTTTCCTGGTACGGGTATTGGGCCGGGGTCGGGAACGGCGTACACATTCACTCCCACATTAGCATTTCGTATTTTATACACAACCTGATAGTTGGCGGGAACAAAGCGCAGTTTAGGTAAACAAAAATCGAGATATTTACTATATTTGCAATATTGCAGGTCTTAGAAAGAAAATGCGTATTAGAATATCATTTTATGGCATAACTTTAAAATTCAAATGTCTCAATTGAAAACATTTAATTAATAACAGCTGTGTACCAAGGAAAATTTGCTTCATGTGTGACTGAGTGCATCAACGAGTGTGTGTGCAGAATTCATGGACGCTCACTGTGCTTTGCCACATAATGCCTTAACTAATATAGAGAATAAGCTAGTGTTCTCTTCACGTTCTTCGGTCGGTCGTTGTGAATATGTCCTTTTCTATAAAACGTATTTACCAGGTTGGACACAACCTAATATACAGTCCAGCTTTTGCGATGCTTGTGTAGTTAGTAAGTTACTGCTTTGTGTAGTCTATCTGTTACTCAAATACAGGATGAAAATAGAAACATATAATGCTCTTGAAACATATGCGACAAAAAGGGTGCCATCTTTTTAACATGAATCATGAATATAGACAATGTGACTACCACATTCAAATTTCTGAAAGTTGACATTGATAAAATAACTTCAAAATCTGTGGCATTTAAAATCTAAATAAGACTCCATCTTGCACATTATTTTCGGGATAAATGAGCTTAGTTTATTCATATTGTTCAACCAAGTTTTACTTCTCAATGACTGAAAAAATGTCATTGACACTAATGTACAGCCTGGAAGTGAACATGACATGGATAGATGACAGATCACTGTGAGGAAAGATAACTTCGCGACTCAGTGAACAGACACAAGGCAAACACGAAATAAGCCCCCATTGAACATCGTTTCCAGTCCCTGCAGTCCTATGTTATATTGTAGGTCATTGGTTCTTTTTCTGAAATTAATATTAACTTGTTAAGTGTGCCTACAATTGCAGCTGGTTAGCTATAGATGTAAAAATTATTGTGTGTAAAATTCAAAATTTTCTTTCATTTATTTCAGCAGATGATGATATAGCAAGACCATAGACTGAATACTGACCATGTTTAAAGGCTTTTTCACTGCTTTAAGCAGCAGAGTTTTTGGTATGTGATCATGGGAAGTGAACAAATGTAGTGAACAATTTAGTAATTTTAACTTTACCTTGAAAATTCTTCCTTGCTTTTCAAGTTTAGTTGATTGATTATGAAAATATGATTTAACACAGGAATTCCTAGAAACCTGTGTGAATTTGTTGACTTCTATCAATATCATTCATTTAAATTTTTGTTATGGCATTAACAATGCTGTAGACAAATATTGAATTTGCACAGACAACTTTGCCACAAATAATTAAATGGGAGTATTTGATCTCATCTGGTTCCTCAAAATGTCTGTAGCTGAGTTTCTTATCACTGAACTTCTATGCAGAGTTATTGCAATAAACTACTTTGTATATTCAATTCACTTTGTTAAAAGATGTGACTATGATTCATCACTTGTACATATACTTTATGTTTCAAATGATTTAGGTTCTGGGCAAAATGAAGACAGGAATCAAAGTGAAGATCATGACAGCTCTTCTGGCAGTACAGTAAAGGTAGGTAAGTGGTATACAGTGGAACCCTCTAAATGTCATGTCTGTTATAGTCACTTTCCTGTTAATATCACATTTATAAAACATAGATTTTTTTCCTTTAATAAACTATGTAATCCAATATCTGATAATGTGACATATTTTTCTGT